TTAGATGTCCATGAAACTGGAGGCTGTATGATAGTTTTGGGCTTTTTTTAAAAAATATATTTTTATTGACGTATAATCAGTTTACAATGCTGTGTCAATTTCTGGTGTGCAGCACAATGCTTCAGTCATATAGGAACATACATATATTCGTTTTCATGTTCTTTTTAACCATAAGTTACTACAAGATACTGAATATAGTTCCCTGTGCTCTACAGTTTAAACTTGTTGTTTATCCATTTTATACATAGTAGTTAGTATGTGCAAATCTCGAACTCCCAATTTATCCTCTCCCACCCCCTTCCCCTCCTTTTTTTTTTTTAATAAGCTCCTATTGAAAATCTATTAGTGACCAGAAATTTCCTGGCTTCTTGGGCAACCTGTTCTGTCACTAGATGTCATCTGATTAATGGTGTCTTATTACATTGACTTATAATTGACTTCCTTTTATCTCCACACGTTTCTCTGACCTGTAAGTGTGTGAAGACCGTTCCCTTGCTTCACTCAAGTAATTTCTTTTGCAGGCTGAACATCCCTGGTTACTTCAGCCTTTACTCACCTGACATTGAAAAGTGGGCCCAGTGAGGAAAGGGCCTAACAACCTCTGCCCTATGCTCAGCCCCTAGACTGGTACTTGGCATTCTGTAAGTACTCGGGTAACACCTGGTGCAGGAAGGAGAGAACAGAGGAGCCATATGCGTTCATTCCACCTTCCTGTCCTGCTAACTCCGGGTCCTGACTCCTTAAATAACACCCACACAAGGAACACACAGCATCCACCTGTGATTCTTAACTCCCACATCTAGTATGTTCAGCTAGAACTTACAGCTAGTCCTTACCCAGGTTTCTGGAGAAGGGTTAAAAGGCCAGAGCTGTGCCCAGCGTCAGAGACCTCACCCCATGCGGATGTGACCCTTGGGCAGCTAGCTATGCTCCCTGCTGTCCTTTATTTAGTCCATGTTGTTTCCTGTGTCAGGGACTGTGGGAGTGAGCAGGAAGGAACACTAGCCTTCCTGTGGAGATAGGGAGCGACACAGGAAGGGGTGATGCTTGATCTTGCAGGGTAGAGAGGATTTTACCACGGGAGGGAGGAGCGTTCCTGGCCTGGGGGAGCACATGTGAAGAGGTCAGGCAGTTCAGGAGGTACAGCGAGGAGGTGGGGAAAGTGTGGTTGTTTGATGGGGCTTTTAGGGCTAGTGAGGTATAAAAGGACTGCCCACAAAGGGTCCTGATCCATGCTAAGGACTTGGTCCATTCTCCTGTAAGTCCTGGGACACCAACAGAATTTTAATCAAGAAGCGAAACTTTCACGGTTTACTGTTGGGAGTGAGAAAGACCTAAGTGGGAGAAGTAAGTAGGAGGTCTCTGGGCGGAGGACAGCAAGGGCCTGACCCAGGGCCCTGGCAGCGGGAACCTGGAGGAGCAGGTGGACTGGAGGAGCATTCAGGAGGGGGACCTACAGGTTGTCATCTGCACTTGGGTGCAGAGGACAAGAGTCTAGAAAGATACTTGGATTCCTGGGTCGCTCAGTGTCATTTATTTTTTCAATTAACAAGCAGATAATCCTTACCATGTGTCAGGCACTCTTAAGTGTTTAACAAATATTGACTCATTCAAGTCTCATAATAACCCTACAGGTAGGCACTGTTTTGTCCCCGTTGGATAGAGGAAGAGACTGAGACACTCAGAGGTTAACAGACCCGTGAGCAGTGGAGCAGGGATCTGAACCCAGGCAGTCTGGCTGCAGAATCCACGCTGTTAGCCAGAGTTGGAAATATGCACTTGAGGTTGGGAAAAGGGGGGGCAGGGAGGGGACGGAGTGTCCGTTCATTCTAGCCTGACACTTCACCTGTCGTGAGCCAAGCAGTGGGACAGAAGCTAGTGGATGTGCACTGTGTCCTGGAAGTGCCCCCGGACCATGGAAGTGAGGCTGGGATAGACCAAAGAGACAACAAAGGGAACCCTGCATTTAATTTAATCATGACTTTAAATCGTTAGAGCAGACCAAGAGGTACCAAGATACATCGATGAAAACTAGGTGAGGATGGAAGCAAAGCAAATAAAGGGCTTCAGGAACAAGTGAGAGACCAGCAATGCCTCTGCAGCAGGAATCATTGCTGAGGCCTGGCTTGGTGCTGGTGAGGAGGCAGAGACCCCAGGGCTTTTGTTCCTGCCAATGAACATTGAATTGAAATGGAAATCGTTAAGTCGTCCAGAATAAAAGGGGGGCAAACAGTATAAAAGAAAACAAAATACGAAAGAACTGTAAACATAAACACGGAAAATATTCAAACCCAGTATTCAAAAGGTGTAAATTAAAAATACAATCTATACGCCAGAAATTGACCCAACATTGTAAACCAACTATACCTCAATAAAATAAATAATAAATAAAATACAGTCTAAATTTAAACAAGGTAAAAGTGCCGTGTTTTATAGACTTGTACTTCTAGCCAAGAGGGAGTAATAGGGAGTGGATTTACCCTGTTGCCCAAACAGCAACAACCACAGAAACACAGACAAAACAGGTGAACAGTCCTTTTGTTCCAGGACACTGGATGTCAGGCAACAAAGGCAGTCCCCCCGAGAGATGGACAGCCAACCAGGTGCTCCCTCTGATTTGCCTGTTGATTACCTTGAGAGGGTCTCCAGGTTATAGCAGGGGAAGGGGAAGCTGAGGCGGGGCTGAGCAGACGCGAGTCCAGGGTGCGGAGCTGAGCCCGTAGGGAGGGCGGAGCGGCCAGCATCCGCAGAGAGGAGTGGGCACCCTGGAGCGGTCACACGGCCACGTGTGCAGGGAGGCTGAGGGAGTAGCGCCCAACGATCACCTGGGAGTTGTTGCCGGCTACACTGGCTGGACTGGAAAGTGCTTCTAGTCCTGCAGCACTGGGAGTGAAGCTATAGGGGGTAACACCTGTGTGCTTAGAAGTCTGTAGTCAGCAAAAATGTATTTCAACAACAAGGCAAGACAGCCTCCAGGATGGGAGAAAATACTTGGATGTTACAAACCTGATAAGGGTTTAATATCCAAAATATGTGAAGAACTACAGGTGAATAACTAAAAGGCAAATGACCCACTTAAGAAGATGGGTTAAGGACTTGAACATATATTTCTCCAAAGAAGATAGACTAATGGCCAGTCAGCACATGAAACAAATGCAGATGAAAGCCAGTGAGCTGCCACTTCATTTAGATGGCTAGATAATTTAAATGGCGTGACAGGCGTTGGGAAGCATGTGGGGAAATTGGAGCCCTTGTATGTTGTGGATGTGAAGTAAAATGATGCAGCCACTATGGAAAATAGTTTGGGTGCTCAAAAACTAAGCATAAAATTACCACATAGCCCAGCAGTTCCACTCCCAGGTATACTCGTCAACAGATGAGCAGACAAACAAAAATGTGTTCAGTCCAGCCGCGGAGCAGCATTTAGCCACTCAGAGAGGGAGCTACTGCTGCAGGCTGCAGCACGTGTGACGCTGCAAACACGATGCTGAGTGAGAGAAGCCAGACTCAACAGGGCAAGCACTGCGCGATCCCACGCACATGAAATAGCTGGAGCAGGCAAGTTCCAAGCCAGAAAGCAGGTTAGAGGTAATGGGGTCTGAGGAGGTGGGTAGGGAGTTACTGCTGTAACGTTTCAGAGTTGCACAGCACTGCGAGTGTACGTAATGCCACTGAATTGTACACTTAATGATTCAAATGGCAAATTGTTATATTTATTTTACCACAACTTTACAGATTAATAATGTAATATATCAAAAACATTGGATTGTACCCTTTGAGTGGAGGAATTGTATGGTGTGTGAGTTTTATCTCAATAAAGGGAAAAGAGATGATCAGATACTTATTACCAGCAGACCCACATTACAAGAAATGTTAGTGGGGAGGGTGTAGCTCCGTGGTAGAGAGCGTGCTTAGCATGCAAGAGGTCCTGGGGATTGAACCCAGGACCTCCATTAGAAAGTAATAAATAAACCTAATTACCTCTCCCCCCCAAAAAAGCTTAAAAAAAATAAACAAAAATTTAAAAGGCAAGAATGATTAGAATGTAATGAGTGTAAGATTGATTATTGGAAAAAAAAAAGAAAAAATGTTGAGAAAAGTCCCTCAGGGAGAAGGGAAATGGCTCCACGTGGGAATGTGGATCCAGCCTAGAGGGTGAACCGCTCTGGTGGTGGTGACTACGTCGATAAACGTAATTTTTTTCTTAATACTGAACATCTTTAAAAGATTGCCAGCCACGTGTCCGTTTCCTCGTGGACCGCGCAGCACCTGTCAGATCGGGTCTGTGGGCAGGTGTGGGCCCTGGGGCAGCTGGGCCTGTGCTCAGGTGTCCAGCAGCGATACAGTTGTTACCAGCCGGAGTTCTCGTCTCTGGGGGAGCGTCCACGTCCAGCTCGCTCTGGGGCTCCTTGCTGGCTGCGCTCAGCTCCGTGGACGACCCACGCGTCCCTCACCTTCAGCAGGGACCGCACTTCCCTTTGTTCTCGTGTTTCAAGTCTCACTTCCCTTCTGCCATCAGCTGGAGAAAGCAGTTGTTTTCTTACCAGTAAAGTGAGAGTGTTAGATTGAGTCAGGGTTTGTCTCTTGATTGAGTTTTCCCTCAAAAAGAGGATTTCTCGAGGGGAGGGATTAGCTCTGTGGCAGAGCTCATGCTTAGCATGCACAAGGTCCTGGGTTCAATCCCCAGTCCCTCCATTAAACATAAATAAATAACCCTAATTACCTCTCCCCCTCAAATAAATAATAATTTTAAAAAAATTTAAGAAGGGAAAACAGTATCTTGTTAAAAAAAAGAGGATTTGTTGCATATTGGAGCCATTCAGTTCCAAATGTGGTTCAGCGTGGAACCCTAGAGATGGAGAGAGGAAAGGCCATCTCTGGAGCTGTTTTATTCCTACTCCTGGGGGCTTCAGGCACTGTCGGTGTGTGTCTGGGACAATCTGTGGTGTGTGTGTGTACTGGGGAGGTGAGGGAATCCAGGCTCATGACTACCGAGCCCCAGTCACAGCACCTCTCACGTCTCGTCCTCTTCCCCAGTGCCACTGGTTCCGCATCTCCCGTCACGCAGGAAAGCATCACCAAGAACCAGGAGGGCATGGAGGCCGAGTTGCTAACTGCTGGGTCCCACGTAAGTTGAGCTGCCTTCACTCCTTTTTGTTTTCCAACTGAGAATCCCTTTTTGGTTAAGGGTTCTTAAGGGGCCGTGTCTCAAACACTCCCTCCAGCAGGCTAGCACTGTTTAGGTTCCTTCATTTGTATTTGCAGTTTTATTTCCTTTCGTATCAAAGAAACACAAGTTGAACGGAAGTGTGTGTAACATTGAGGACTCTGGTGAGATACTCTTTCGTCCGCAGGAAGGAACCAAGCACACAGCAAGAACTGGCAGTGTTGGTGCCATTTTGAGAGACTCCCAGCTGTCTCGGGCGTGGGGCTGGTGTGCCAGTTCCTCCCTGGGGACTGCCTGTTTGGAAGGGCTTAGAGACAAGCCATGTAATTACCCAGAAGGAACTAACTGCAACCAAGACAGGAAGAGCCCAGGGGAGGCGGGGTCCCCTGGGGACAGTGTGATGGGTGGGGTCCCTCCTGGGGCCTCACTCAGCTGCTCGCCTACGATCCCTGACACACTACCTCTGTGTGTATTGAAAACACCGCCAGAAAACATAGTTTTGCTTTTGGCCACTCTACATATTTTGAAGGATTTAAGATTAAGAAAACTAATCTATTGTATTTACCCCAATACTGTTTTTTTTAACTCATCTGTCATTCCTGAGATTTAAAATTTCTCCCTTGTATCATTTCCCTTCTGTCTGAAGAATTATCATGAGCACATCTCTTAGAGTAGGTCTGCTGGTAACAGATTCTCCTAGTTAATCTTTGAGAATGTATTTTTCATCATTCCTGAAAGATATTTTCACCTGATACAGAAATTCAGGCTTGACAGTTTTCTTCTTTCAGCATCGAAAGACCGTCACTATTCCAGCGTCATTTGACCTTCATGGTCTTTGGTGAGACACTCTCAGTCATTCAGATTTTCTTCTTTTCCTGTGTGTAATCAACAGTTGTTGTGATGTGGCTAATAAAAGCCTTGCTTCTGTATTGTTTCTTTGTCAGATTGTTTTGCTACTGTTAAAATTGTAATCTCTTCTCCATTTTTTCTTCTTCTTTAAAATTTATTTAAAAATTTTGTTAATGGAGGTACTGGTGTTGAACCCAGGAAGGACCTCATGCGTGCTAAGCACGTGCTGTACCACTGAGCTGTACCCTCCCTCCCTTTTCTTCATATTCTTAATGCCTACCAGTGTTTAGGAAGAATGCTTTGGACAGTTATTTTAGGTCGTGAAGCATGGCTGGGTGGTTCTCTTAAGCACTCAGCCGTGCCTGAACTCCAGGCTGTTCCTCTGGAGGAGCGGGCGTGGCTCTAGTGGCCGAGCGCATGCTTACTGCGCGTGAGAGCCTGGGCTTGATTCTCAGTACATCTTCTAAAAATGAGTAAATAAAAAACCTAGGTACCCCTCCCGAAACAAAGGAAAAAAGGACTGTTTTCCCGCCTTGAATCGGGTTCTTTATTTCACGGAAGTGTAGATGAACTTCCAGTGTCTGAGTCTCCCTGCTGTAGCTGTTTACAACGCACTTGATTTAAGCCAAAGTGCTTCTGACAGTTTCTAAACCGGAAGCATAACACGGAACTAGTTTCTAGACAGGAGGTACTTAATACTGCTCCTTTTAGGACGACCAGAATTCAGCGTAAATACTACTCGTGCTTAGAGTAAGTTCTGGTCTGTCCTCATTCCCTTCCCAAGTGCTAGCTGTGTGATCTTTTTCTGTCAGTGTTCGGGAAAGGGCGATAACCATCTGGCTCAGTGCAGATTTGTTTTGTGTTGTAGGCACTGGTGACCTTCCAAGACATCCTTGTGCACTTCACCAGGGAGGAGTGGGAGCTGCTGGACGCAGCACAGCAGCTCATGTACAGAGACGTGACGCTGGAGAACTGCCGAAACCTGGTGTCCCTGGGTAAGACCGACCTCTGGAGGGACTGGGTTCCTCCTTGGTCAGAAGGTTTGGAGACCCTGAAGCATACATTAGTGTGTGAGCTTGGGGTCAGGGACCTAATTTCTTTGGGGCATAGAAGAGGGTTTTCATAAAAGCATATGGAAAGAATTGTTTCAATTTGTTGAATTTTAAAAAATGTATACTCTGCTGCCTCTGCACCCCTACCTGTCTACTCCTCAGAGCCCCCAGGACTGTTGATGGGGTCGGGGCTCAGGGGTCGGGGTTGAATCTGAGATGCTTCTTTGTGTCCAGCTCAGAGCCTCACCCAGTTGTTTATCTTTCACTGTGAACAGGGCATCAGCTTCCCAAGCCAGATGTGATCCTCCGGTTGGAGAAGGGGGAGGAACCGTGGCTGCTGGAGAGAGGCGTTCACCCAGAGGCCCATCCAGGTGAGACCAGATTACCTGTTAGGGGCACGAATCCCTGGCGGCGGCAGTCACCAGCTCTCCGTGTTTCAAGATGAGGACTGAGTTTACTGACCTCCCACGTCCCCACTGCTGGTCTCCTCCCTGCAGTCTCGTCACCCTTGCGTTTGCGTTCCTGGAGTTCTCTTTCTGGTGATGTCCAGCCCTGTTCATTATTGCTTCCCTGATTATCACCACTAACTCCAGCGTCCAGATTCTCTCCTTTTGCATAGTGTTATTTCTCTCCACGCTGCCTGTCTCTTCCCCATCCTGTGTCCCTGTCCACGGCCTCTGTCTGCTGCTTTGTGTAAGCCCTGCCGTGGGGCCCATAACTGCTCCTGCTCTGGGTTAGAAGAGGGCTGTGAAGGGCTCAGCGGTTCCTGCTGACTTAGCTCCCCTCGCTTCCCAGAGCCACTGCTCTCAAGAACATCTTGTCTTCTTGCTATAATCTCTTTGTTTAATGTTTTTTTCCAACTTATTTTTACTCATTTGAATCTTAATATCTCTAAAGTGCAGACCATTATGTGTATTCCTAGCATCGTTTCTTTTCTCAGCGTCCCTGTGTTGAGAAGATCAGCCTTCTTGGTTAAGAAATAGAAGGCAGCCCTTCATCTTCCTGCTTCTCTGTTCCCTCTGAGCCATCATTTTCCTGACCCCTGTTTCTAAGCTCGGTGCTCTGAGTCTCCCCTCAGCCCAACCATGCTGGATGTTGCTGTCCGGATCATACGTGGGAAGGGCAGGCAGTCAGGACACTGCCAGTGACCCCAGGTGGGGCTGCTAGCCAGGTCCAGTACAGTCCAGGCACCGTAATCGTCTGCAGTCACTCCCGTCTGGTATCTGATGTGCATGCGTATCAGGCACTTCCCTGCATCTCAGGCTTCGAGTGTGATGTAAAGGAAGTCTGTCTGTCAGTTTCTATTGTCCTCTGAGTTTCGCCTCTTTCCTTTTCTGTGAAACCTTTTGACTCATTAAGTACAAGTTTCTTCTTTTTTGGAGCTTCCACTTTGTTTAAGTGTCCTTCTAAATGTCATAAACCGTTTTTGACCTTTTTTACATTTGGCCTTGTAGGTGACCGTATTAAGTCTTTATCTCAGGGCAGGTCCCTCGGACACTGTGAAGTGCTTGATCATACTGAAATTCCATGTAGGTGCTTAAACACCTGGGGTTTATGGGACTCTACAAGCTATGGTAACTTCATTATCGACAGGAGAAGGGTAATGAGTGATAGCTTTATAAACTCACACGGTGGGTTGGTTAATGGAAGCTGCAGATTCTGAGGCTCGCTCACCGGAGTTCTCTTCCATGTTACATAATACATGGAAGATTTTTTAGGACTTTAATAAATTCATATTTTCTCACACTTTACTCAGACTTGTCCACCAGCATGCAGCCCCCATTCCTCACCACATGTGTTCATTTTAGAATTTTCCATCAGCATTTGTGGTTTGAAAACCTTCTCCATGGGATTCTGATACACTAGGTGGAGGAGAAGGAGAGGAGGGTGTGTGTCCGATCAAAACTCATCAAGGTAGAGCTGGATGTAGATATAACGGAGTATTATTTAGCCCTAAAAAGGGAGGAAGTTCTGCAGTACACTACAGTGTGGGTGGACCTTCAGGACATTGCTGGGTGAAATAAACCAGTCACAAAAGGACAAATAGTGTGTGATTCCACTTTCAGGAGGTACTTGAAGTAGCCAGAATCATAAAGACGAAGTATAATGGTGCTTTCCAGGGGCTCGGTGAGGGAGCGGGGGTGTCACTGTTTAACAGGTATAGAGTTTTAGTTTTACAAGGTGAACGTGATTTACGGGGATGGTGGTGATGGCTGCACGACAGTGTGAATATACCCCACACTTCAGTTGTGCCCTTAAAAATGGTTAAGATGGTGCATTTTATGTTACAGGTGTTTTACATCACAATTTTTTTTAAAAGAAAGGATGGGGAAGAAGCCGGTAGCTGACAAAGCTGTGAATGAAAACGAGGACTGGTGGTGGGGCTGGGTCATACCGAGAGAGCAGTGAGGAGCCCAGCACAGGGATGATTCACCAGGCATGGCCACTGGGACAGAGGTCCACAGACTGGGTGGCGTAAGTCAGCAAATTAATTTTCTCACAGTTCTGGAGGTCAAAAGTGAAATCAAGGTGTCGTCAGAGCCACACACCCTCTCAAGCCTCCAGGAGAGGCCCTCCCTCGCTTCTTGAATCTCTGGTGGCCCCAGGTGTCCTTGGATTGTAGACGCATCTGTCTGATCAGCCTCTGTCTTCACATGGCCGCCTTCCCCGTGTGTGTCTGTGTGGCCCCTCTTCTCTTCTCCTCATAAGGACACGTCACCCTGGATGAGGGCCCACCCTACCCCAGTACTGCTCCCACTTAACTGATCACATCTACCTGTTCCAAGTAAGTCACAATCTGTGACACTGGGGGTCAGGACTTCAACATATCTTCTTTGGGGACACAGTCCAACCTATATACCAGATAAGAGCAGAATATTGCCCCATTTCTGTAGGAGGAGGTGGTATTGGGTAAATAGTGGAGTTTTCCCTAGGTTTCAGCAGCAAACTTTCAGCTGAAAGCATTGAGAAGCAAACTCAGGCTCTTAACCAGGGGAAATAATTTGCAGTCATCTGCATACGTAGGAGCAGGAGGGCAGAAAGTCCAGGAGACTGTGCGTTGGGTCCAGGCTCTGCGCTGGTGCCCTGTGTTAGTCCTGCCGGCTTTGGTAAGCCCTGATGTCTCAGAGCCGAGGAGTCAACGCGGAAGACAGGAACGACGGTGACAGTATTGTAAATGGCGTTGCTTTGCCCACGTGTGTGTCAGACGGTCATGGGCTCCCTCTTCATATGCTCCTTAGGATAACCTCATAGGTCCTTGGATGACAGATGAGCAGAGTGATCTTTGAAATTGTAGCAACTTGTCTGAATTCACCACTAGCAGTGGTAAAGCTTAGGTTAGAGCCTGTATCTGGGTAACGTCTCTGCAGTTGCCCCTCCGGCCTTTCACCTGGCCTGTCTGAGAGGTTTGCTGTGTGTAATTGCTCTGTGCTTTCCTGGTGATGTAGCTGCGTGGCTGCGTTCGTGGTTTAGGAATGTTAGGTTGGCAGAATTCCTGTCGGGGTGGGGCGCCTGGCAGCACAGAAACATGCTAGGTCCTTTTATCATGAGTGTCAGATTCAGAAGTGGGAGGGCAGTCCATTCTGTGTCTCCCACCCCAACGCTGAGCATCCTGACTCGTGTGCGGTGACCAGGCCTGTGGCTCCTCCCCTTCCGTCTCCTGTCATGTGCGTGTCGTAGCCCAGCACGTCTCTTGTCTACGGCTCTTCCTCCCCTTTCTCACTCTCTGTCAAGGTCACAAAACCATATTTGAAAGCAACTCTATGACTTACACACTTATTTCCTACCTACTCTGACCTTAATACTTCTTTTAGTTGTGCAAGGCTTTTTTCATTTCTTTCAGATTTGGAGGCTGCAGTTGAAATTAAATCATCACTTTCCAGTAGGAGCATCTCTAAAGATGAACAGTCCTGTGGTGTTAAAATGGAAGGAATGGCAAAGGATGACCCCTGGTACTTGTCACTGGAACAAGTCTGGACGTGTGAAGGTCGCTTGGACAGGTCTCAGGGCAGCCAGGAGAGACATCTGAGGCAAGTGGCATTCCCCCAGAAGAAAGCACCTCCCCAGGAGAGAGCCTGCGGAAATGGGAAATTCGGGACAAGCTGTCCTCTTCCTGCTCAGCTAGTGCTGCGAGAGTATTTCCTTAAACATGACTCACATCCTAAAACTGTAAAGCAGAGTTTAGTTTTCAGTGGTCCTCAGGAAGGCTATGCAAGCAACAGTGATGACTGTGATCAAACCATCTGCCAAAACATTCACCTTATTCAGTTTGCAAGAACTCAAGCAGTAGATAAATCGTACAGATGCCCTGATAAGAATTCTCTTACTCGTGGTACATCCCTTGGTATATCGAAGGGTATACTTAGAGAGAAACCCTACGAATGTAAGGAATGTGGGAAATTCTTCAGCTGGCGCTCTAATCTTACCAGGCACCGGCTGATTCATACTGGAGAAAAACCCTATGAATGTAAAGAATGTGGAAAATCTTTCAGCCGGAGTTCTCATCTCATTGGACACCAAAAGACTCATACTGGTGAGGAGCCATATGAGTGTAAAGAATGTGGGAGATCCTTCAGCTGGTTCTCCCACCTTGTCACTCACCAGAGGACTCATACAGGAGACAAACTGTACACCTGTAATCAGTGTGGGAAGTCTTTTGTTCACAGCTCCAGGCTCATTAGACACCAGAGAACTCATACTGGAGAGAAACCTTATGAATGTCCTGAATGTGGGAAATCTTTCAGGCAGAGCACACATCTCATCCTGCACCAGAGGACTCACGTTAGAGTGCGACCCTATGAGTGCAGTGAATGTGGGAAGTCTTACAGCCAGAGATCTCACCTCGTCGTGCATCACAGAACTCACACCGGGCTGAAGCCCTTTGAGTGTAAAGACTGTGGAAAATGCTTCAGTCGCAGCTCCCACCTGTTCTCACATCAGAGAACCCACACTGGGGAGAAACCGTACAAATGCCGGGACTGTGGGAAATCCTTCAGCCAGAGTTCTGCCCTCATTGTGCACCAGAGGATTCACACTGGAGAGAAGCCTTATCAGTGCGGTCAGTGCGGGAAAGCCTTCATTCGGAAGAATGACCTTATTAAGCATCAGAAGGTTCATGTTGGAGAAGAGGCCTACAAGTGTAACCGGTGTGGGATCGCCTTCAGCCAGAACTCCCCGTTTATGGTGCGTCACATAGCTCACACTGGAGAGCAGTTCCTAGCGTGTAATCAGTGTGGATCCGTGCTGGTTAACACCCCAACCCTCATGAGATACCAGATAAATCATATTAGAGAAAATGCGTATTAATTAATAAATCTGAAAAATTCTTCCTGAACAGCAATAACTTTGTTTTGTCTTGGGGAACTCCTTCTGGAGAGAAGCTGCCTTCAGTCTTGTTACTACCCTTTTGCTCACTAGAGAATTGGTCCTGGAGAGGGGAAAACCACACAAATTTCACTTTAGTACATCAGATTTTCTGCTTTCTCGAAACTCCCACAAAAGTAATTGGCCTGGGAGCATTCTTGGCCAAGCCTTCAGTGCTGAAGTCTGAGAAGGAGCCATTACTTAGGTGAGTTGTTGATAGATAATCCAGCTTTGTTTCCACCCCAGAAGTGAGAGTGCTACCTCAGAAAGACAAATGAGAGTTGTTGCTGAGAAGAATAAAGAATCAATACAGTTAGAGCGATGAAAGATGGAAAGCAGTACTGCAGTGACGTGATGTGCCGTTTTTTACTGGCTTGTCCCTCTCCCCTGGGACACTTTGTAGTGTTTAGTCTGCTTTCTGTGTCTTATGTAAACCACATTTTGGCTAGCAGCAGGGAACATCTTATAATGTGAGCAGAGGAGGAAGAACACGTTTACTACTAGCAGTACCCATTTTAAGTATATTTGCATGTGGACAAGAATTGAAAACCTCTCCATAGATAAATGAACAGAATTGATTTGTTAGTAATGGGTTTACAAGTGAGTTTCCTAGTGTACTTGGTGTCACCGTCATGATTATTGGAAGATACTTTTAAATATTTAAAAAGGATGTCTAGTTTCTCTATCCCACCATCAAGGAAACTTGAGAACCACCTGCTAGCCGACTTTCCTGTACATTCTAAGTTGTTTGGGGCCATAGTTAAGAGTTGTGCTCCTTGCGGCAGGCTGCCAAAGGCCCCTGGGAATTTGAACACGATGACTCTCTGGATGTTGGGACCTGAAAGAACAGTGGATATTTGAACATGCCAGGGAGGGTCTCCTCAGAGCGGGTGCAGGTACCTGGACAATGCTTGGAGCAAGTGTGCTCATAAAATGGACACAGCACTGCCCACAGCCACACTCCTTCCCAGGCAGACTTTTGTCTTTATGAAGAAAGCTTAGTGGTTAGTCTCAGTCTCAGTCTGAGCTGGGACCCCCGAGGTGAAACCCCACCTCTCCTTCACTTGCCAGGTGACGTGGGCATGCCGTCAAGCTCCTCCGTGCCCGACTCACAGACACCCTCCTCTGTAAGTCAGGGGCGCCTCGTACGGCTGTGCTCAGTAGCAGACGAGCCCAGAACGGTGCCTGATGTGGACACCGTGCTGTATTTCATTAGCTGTGATGTTCACCATTAAGGCTGTTGCCCACCGCCCCCCGCCCCAGTGTCTGTCATTTAACTTAAACCTGCCTGATCGCTGATAAGAACTGACTGACCCTCACTTCCCTTCCAGTCACACATGTCTTCCCTTTTACCTACATTGGAACTTACCAACCTCAGGAAACCACTGACCCACAGTGGGTGCGTGGATTCATTTCTGAGTATCAGTAAACACCTTTTAATGCTGTATGCAAAAGCAATCTCTCTGTATGAAGGTTCTCCCTTCAAGGGAGAAGATGCTAATCTACAGATTCTCTGGTAAATCCATGACCCAAAAAAGGTTTAGAAAGAGAACCCGTTTTAATGCTGTTCCCTTCTATAAATGGATCTTGTGTGGGGGGCCTGACCACTATTTGCCATTTTCTGATAAACAATACATATGTTAGATGCTCAGTGATTGACTGTTGAATGATAAATAAATGCTGAGACCACAGGACGAGGATCTTGTGTCTCTCCCAGACAAATCTGGAGATGCTGGTAGACTTGTGCAACCGAGAACCGCAGGCATCTGGGCTGCTCACTCGCTCTTCCCGGTGCGGCTGAGGTAGAGCGAGTCGGCCAGGCCTCCCAGCACCTCAGTCACTGTTAGCACTGCCTCTTCAGTGCTTATGCACCATTTGCGTGTGTAATGGCCTCCTGTCATGAACGGTTGTCATCACAAGCAGTGGCTGTCCGTGGGAGGAAAAGAGTGGCCCCTCCGCTGGGCCTCTTAGCACTTCCCACAGCCCTCGGCTGGAGGTCCCACAGCTGCGCAGTGGAGATGCCGCTAGTATCCACCTCCAAAGGGGCTGTGTGCGGTCAGCGAGATAATGTGTAAAGGATTTAAAACCGTGCCTGGCACGTAGCAAGTACTGTATGTGTTAGCTATGACTAATTCACTAATATCAACACCCTAAGGGATCTGTGTCTGTGGGTGATCACTGAAACTTACAAAACTGCAAAATTTGCAGCGTTAAAAATGTACGATAGCAGAATGGTTATTTATAGACATTAAAGTTATGCAGTAGAAAGTTTGGTAAAATGAAAAATGATACTGTGATGTTACGAGACGGCATGAAAATAATTGTCAATACGGAATAAGCTCAGATAAGTAAATAAATGAACTTCAAAAAAACTGTCGTGCTCAAAACTAAGGAGATTTATCAAAAGATGAATAGTTTAATGGATTAATAGAATAATCACCTGCATATTGGAAAAATTGGTGTTTACTTTTCTATTTTTCTTGTACTTTTCTTTCCAAAGTCTCTTCAAAGAATATATATTGCTTTTAGGATTAGGAAAACAGTCTTTTCAGTGATGGAATAATTTCTCTTCAAAAGTTCCTTATCTGCAAATAAGCTACTGGAACTTTAATAAGGGAATTTGGCAAGGTCTCACTATGAGATCAATATACAGAAATTGATATTTCTATATTCAAGCAGTGAACAATTTGTAAATGAAATCAGGAATACGGTCCCACTTACAATGATACAAAAATGTGAAATACTTAGATAAACTTAATTGAGCAAAATGTATACAGTGGAAATAGAAAGCATTGCTGAAAGACATTCAAGAATGCATGACTAAGAATACGTAATAAGCACATTAGAAGTGAAGAAACACACCGTGGTCACGGATAGAAAAGCTCGATATAGTGAAGAGAGCTATCTTCCTCAAACTAATCTTCCGGTTCGGAGACATTTGTGGGGAAATTGACAAGCTAGTCAAGACGTTACATGGAAACGTGGAGGACCCGAAGCAATTGCTTTAAAGGATAAGGTTGAAGGGCCCATGCCACCTAAGTTCAAGGTCTGCTGTAGAACTACCCTAATAAAACGCTGGCATGATCAATAACACAGGGAAGAGTCTACACACATGTTGTTAATTAAATTTTGACGTGAGAGTGACAATAACTCAGTGTGGGAAACAGTCTTCTACATGAGTGGTGGTGCCCCAACCAGGTATCGGTATGGAAGAAGCCCTCCCTTTACCTCACAGCACATCCAGCAGTCACTCAAACTGCATCACAAACCTAAATGCAAAAGCTGGAACTTCTCAACACCTGAGGAAAACGGGAAAATGCTGATGCCCCTGGGCTAGACAAAGCACAAAAATCCACAAATCATGAAGGAAAAGTGATACCTTGGACTTGAAAATAGAAACTTCTGCTGTTTTGAAAACACCATTAAGAACATATTAACTATATAGAAACTCATATCCAGAATACAAAGAACCCTCATAACTCATAAGTTATGTAGCAAGCAGATAAACAAAAAAATGCAAAATGATTTACTGGGTGCTTCGCAAAAGAATATATATAAATGGTCAGTAAACCTATGTAAAGATGCTCAACATCATTAGTGATTAGGGAGATGCAAATTGAAGCCAGGAGGAGATCGGACTTCTCATTTGTAGCATGACTAAAATTTAGAAGGTAACACTGGGTATTGGGGATTGGAGAGATGAGAACCCTCACACATTGCTGGGGGCGGTTATGCAATTTTGGAGAACAGTTTTGCGTATCTTCGAAGTGCTAAACATACAGGTACCATGTGACCCATCAGTTCCATCCCTAGCTAAAAAACTGAGAGACCTGAAAACATGTGCATGCAAAAATGTGTGACTGAATGTTCTGCATTATAACAGCCTGAACCTGGAACAAACAAAACAATAAAGACAACAGATGTCATGTATAGTAATTCACAGCTCATGAGCAGATAAATACATTGGAGTCTCGCCCTGTATGGGAATACTACTCAGCAATGAAAGAGACAAACTCATGCTGTATTCAGCAGAGGGTTAAATCTGAAAAGCATTCCAAGTAAAGGAATTCAGACACAAAGGAGTACACACTGTTATGACTCACCTAGGAAATTCCAGAGGACATAATATGTAATGACAGGAGACAGGTCGGTGATCACCGGTGGCCGGGGTGGAAGAGCTCCTGACTGCAAACAGGACCACAGGGAACCATCAGGAGTGAACTGTGTCTTGTTTGTGGTGGTGGTTCCATGATGTCTTCAGCTGTTAAACTCATTGAACTGGACAATTAAATGCATCCAGTTGGTATGTTGTATGTAAATTTTGCATCAATAAAGTTGTTTTTTAAAAATTTGGAAAACCAGGGATTTCTGGGGAAGAAGACAATCTGGGGTTCCAGGTGAATGCTGATAACAACAGTGTAGCAATGTTGAATTTTTGTGACTCATCTTCACTTACAGAACGCTTAATGTGAACTAGCCAATCTGCTAAGCCCTCTAATGCATTAGATTATTTCTATCTTTAACCCTCTAAGGAGTGTAATATTATCCCCTCTACAGTTAAGGGACCTAGAGTTTGGGAATTTTAAGTAATTTGCCCCAAATCACCCAGCTAGTGAATGGCAGAGCTTCATTTCAGAAATAGCTGGTGAGTGTGGCAGATCTCAAGTAAGTTGAAGCTTGCATTGCAGAGGGTTTATAAAATCAGCTTCACTGATATTAAAAAAAAATAGATACACTCCCACTGTTACTCCATCCAGAAACAAATGGACTCAGACACCCCTCAAACGGTCCTCCAGAGGTCTCCCTTTTTATGTCATCATTGTGCTCTGGACGAGATATTTTACAGTGACACAGCTGACATTCCAAAGGGAAGAAAGTGAACACATTCCATTCAAGGGTTCTGTGGCATGTGAGTTACAGACACCGTCTCATTTAGTTTTCACACCTGTTCTGTCAACGTGCGTTCCTTCCTTCCATCTCATGGGTTCGGAGTGACTTGTCCCAGTGGCCCAGGCAGAAGTGGAGATCTCAGCATGTTTTCTGCTCTTCCTTGCAGCCTGCGCGTCTCACTAAGGATCTTCCTGCTCTCCTAAGGGTAATGGGTAACCAGTGAGGAATCTTAAGACAGGCCACCTGATGCTATAGCACATGTGGAATCACAAAATATATTCTTTATATTCACCCATGAATGAAGCCCATGCTGATTAAATATGTGGGACTGTTTTGTTGTTGTTGTTACATGGCAGGAAGTGAAATAAATTGACATAGTTAACTTTGTCCCTAAAAGCTGAAAACTGGCCATACGCCTAGTGTCTCAGCAGCTGTTCCAGAACTGGTTGGAAAGAATCAAATCAATGGTGTGAATAAGCAGCTTGGGTGGAGCTGGCAAGATGTTCCAAGAACAGGATGACCTTGGGTGAGACACGGCAATGAATGGAGATTTCAGAGGGCTGGGCTTCAGAGGGCTGGGGACACTGACTGCTTTTGGCTCTAAACATTAGGAATTAAGTTTTCAATATTTGTAGAGACAGAGTTCTCTCATGTGTCCTCCAAAAATCCATGTGTTGAAGTTGGAGCCCCCAGTTTCAAAATGTGACCTCACTTGGAGAAAGGGTCTTTACAGAGGTCATGAAGTTAAAGTGAGGTCATTAGGGTGGACCCTGATCTAAATAAAGGGAAGTTTACGTTCAGTGAATATTGGTTGAATGAATTGATGAAGAAGCCAACATCCGTTCACTGAACCTGGGAAGGAGGATGCCACACGTGTCCGGCCAGGCAGCGTGAGCAGGTGCTCTTTCAGCGAAGAAGGAGGCTGGAGGAGAGTTGCTGGGGGTGGAGCAGCAGTGCCGTCCCGTGGAAATACATCTTGGCGATACTACCCTTGGTGACAAAGTCTTTTACATGGACCTTGGCAGTCAGAGCCTCAAATGTGCATGCAAGACCAAAGGATTAAAAATAACCGAGGCCTTTGTGAAGGACAACAGTGAAAAAGGGCTTTGATTTACTACTTACAAGGCTTGCTCTAATGATACAATAACAAGAGAAGCTGTATTAGCACTGTGTGGACCAGGGGTTGGCAAACAATGGACACTAGGCCAAATCTGGCCAGCTGTCTGCTTTTGTGATTAAAGTTTTACTGGAACATTCATGCTCATTTTATGTAGTTTTATCTAGTCCTGCCTTTGTGATACAGTGGCAGAGCTCAGTAGTTATGACAGACCTTTTTTTTTTTTTTTGGCCAGCCGCTGTTTTTACTTCCTCCTGGCTGTAGACATCACAAAACCTAACATGTTTACTGGATTGTTAGGGGCTGACTTGTGTCCCCTAAAATTCCTGTGTTGAAGTCCTAATCCCCAGTAACTCAGAATGTCACTGTTTAGGGTCTTTGAAGTTTAAACATTTTAAGGTAAAATGAGGATATTAGATGTATCATGGAAAAGAATCTGAAAAAGAATATATATATAGTGTATGTGTAACTGAATCACTTTGCTAAACACCTGAAATGAATATGACATTGTAAATTACCCATACGTCAGTAAAATAATAACAAATGAGGATATTAGGTTGGGCCCTAATCCAATCCGACTGGTGTCCTTATAAGAAGAGGAGATTAGGACACTGACCTGCACACCGGGATGCCCAAGTGAGGACACAGGGAGAAGACGGCCACCTGCCAGCCAAAGACGGAGGCCTGAGAAGAAACCAACTCTGTTGCCACCTTTATCTCTGACTTTCAGCCTCTAGAACTGTGGAAACATCCATTTCTGTGGTTTAAGCTGCCCTCTGGCACTTTATCATTGCCCTTCTAGAAAACTAATACACTGGCCTTTTACAGAAAAGATCTGCAGACCCCCATTATGGGCATATATCAATGAGACAAAACGAAGAGGCAGGAAAGAGACTCACAGACACATGGCAGGCAGATAATGGCTCTGGAAAGATGTCCACATCCTAATCCTGGTACCTATTAATACATTACCTTACTTGGCAAAGGGGAACTAAGTTGGCTAAGCAGCCGACCTGAAAATAGGAAGAGTCGCTCGGATGGTCCAGGTGTGCCTAATGAGCCCTTCAAAGTGGACAAAGGAGGCAGAAAAGGAGGCCAGAGTGATGCGGTGTGAGGAGACTCAGTCCTCTCTTGCTGGTTTTGAAGCTGGAAGACTGGGGCTGGGAGCCAGGAAATGAACGTGGCCTCTAAAATCTGGAAAAGGTGAGGAAACAATTTCCCCCAAGAGCCCCCAGAGGGGAAACGCAGCCCTGCCAACACCTTGATTTAGCCCAGTAAGACCTGAGTCGCACCTTGACCTTCAGAACTGTAAGATGATACATTTGTGTTGTTTTAAGCTACCAAGTTTATTGCAGCAGTGAGGAAACTAACACAGCATGAGACCTTAGTACATAACAGAGATTGGTTAACAAATCAGTGTGCAAAGGATGCTAATTCTACCTTTCAACCTAAAACTTTTAGAGCCTTCCTTTCCACATTTAATATTTAATCTATTTAGGATTTATTTTAAATACATTCTGAGACAGCAATGTTTTTTTCTGTTATTGTATAGCTATCTCATTTTCCTACACAAATTGTTGAAAAGTTTGCCTTTTCCACAGTATTTTCCTCCAATATTTTATTATGAAAAATTTGATAGATATGGAAAAGTTGAAAGAATTTTACAATGAGTACTGGTGTTCCCAAACTTCAGATGTCACTCATTGTGTTGAATTGGCACTGATGGTGCAAAAGCAATAGGGGTGCATCTGTGGGCACTGAGATGCATCAAGGCGGTAACACCAAAATGTACTTGTTAGTAGGCATTGTGTTCTTCATCGTCACATTCACAGTTAAAAAAAAAAGGGGGAAGGACCAATTTCACTTCTGGTTGTCCTTGATGGAGCAGTGAAAAATAATTTTATTGCATCTCATCTCGAGCCATGTGTTTTTAATATCTGTGCAACATACATTATGTGCTGCAGTGAAATTCCTTAGCTGTCTCCAGAAAAAGTATTTGTGTGATGATCTGAGCTGGGAGTTGAGGTTTGCATGAAAGGACTTTTTCTCAAAAATCAACCAAGTGAGCTGTCACTTCAAGGAAAACAAAAGACAACATTTTTTGCCAATGTAAGTGAAAACAGAATTTTGGAAATCTTGTATCTGCCACTGTGAACATACATTCCCAAAACTTAAGATCCATGATATTAATGAATACGAGTTTTCATATTGTATTATGAAAGGTATCAACATTTGGAGGATCTGCATTAGTCAGTGAACCAGCATTTTCATAATGACCAATGCATGACATTACAAAATCATCCGTGATAAAACTGTCCATTCAAAGTACAAGGTAGACCAATGGATTTTAATATAATAGAAGTTCGCCCGTGTGGTTTCAGATCGTACACTGCAACTGACCTATCCCTTGTTCAGCTTTCACTAGGAAGAAGACGCACAATTATCTGAGTATATTAAAATACCCTGTCCCATCTACATACCTATGTAAGGCCAGATTTTTAAAAAATATACTTCCACAGAAGCAAAGATGCAACATATTGAATGCAGACGCACATATGAGAATCTAGCTGTTTTGTATTAAGCCCGGCGCTTGCAAGAGTCCTCCACAGGCCCTCCTCCCCGACCCTCCCCCGCAAAATAGGAAGAGAACGCCACTCCTGTTTTTCTGGAAAATAAATTAAATTTTCGTAAAAATGTCATTTACATAACGCAATGAATCTTTGCGTTATTAAATTGTAATTTCGAGCTTCTACCATTCGGAAAGCTGGGACCTAAGCACACTTCTAACTCAATTCATTCCCCTCCCGAGATGCGCTCCCCTGGTCGGTTTTCTGATTTCTCCGAATTGGTTTAGTGCCCGCGCGCAGGATGGGGCCCGGGAGCCTGCGCTTCGCGCCGCAGCGCCCCCTTCCGGCAGCGCTCGGCTGGAGCCGCCCGGCGCCGGGGGAGCGCCCGCAGAGGCTTCTGGGAGTGGTAGTTCGCCCCGCCCTCGCGTCGC